ACGGCTTAACGCCAGAACCCGACCTGAGCTTCAGAACCACAAAGTCCAGATGGAGACCAGTGTCTAAATCCAAAGAATTCTGATCAAACAATCAATGCATTAAATAATCAAAGATTAAACAGCTTAAACCAGGAGTTTAAGTTTTACAATAAACTGGACTGAGAAGCTAAACAGGTTCAAACAGATTCCTGCTGTTTTATTGGTTGTTGCAGAAACTTAACCATAAAAATGTATATTATAATAACTGAGAGCAGAGTAGATCATTAACACTCTCAGGCTCAAATTACTTGCAAAGACGAGCTAAGGAGCACTGAGCTATTGCAAATCTGCAACATCTGCCTGGAGAGGCTTAAAAACAAATGTAAACATTTAGAAAATATTGATTTTTTACGTATCCTCATGTTAATATTAACTTATGAATATTTGTGATTTTATTCCATGTTTGTGATGTTTTTTTCATCTGTTTTCCTTTTCTATGTTGTGGTTAATTAGTTTCTTTTTTATTAAATCTATTTATTATTCCCTTTTAATTTAATATTTTTTTATTTTAGCTTAAAAACTTGGGATTGTAGTTTTTATGCTTGTTGTGTCTCCTCCTCGTCTCCATCAGTTTGTTTCCTTCTGCTTTTATCTGCTGCAGAAAACTTGATGCAGATCAAGAAACGGGCCTTCGGTCGGGTTGGGACAGAAATAGAAAGCCGGGTTCCCCGCAGGGTGCGGTCGGCCGATTGGACCATCTGTGGTTTGGACCTTTGTTGCATTGGAATAAAGAGATTTATTAAAGGGATCAAAGCTAATCTGGATCAGCTTCAAGCTCAGAACAGAGACGAGTCAGCAGGAGAAACAGAAAAGAAGAAATAAAAGGTGTGAAATAAATTATTAATCTCCAAAAAGCAACAAAAGAGAAATTAAATATATTTAAGTTTAAACCATCACTAACTAAAAACGAAACAAAGTCCTCCTCAAATAAAGTTTAATCCTGAATAAATTAAAGAATCCAATTGATTATTATTGCATTTAAAATAAAATCTGACTCATTTAAATGCAATAATAATCAGTTTATTTATCTGACTCAAAAACATCTGAAAAACATTTCAGATCCTGGAACAATCTGTGCCAAATGTCAAGCAGATTCTGAAGTTGGGTGTTTAGTAAAACTCGCCTCATTAATCTTTGTTGCTGAAAACAAAGCAGCAGAACTTCCTGCCTGGTTCTTCATGTTGGCAGCTGCAGTCCAGCCTGGATTCCTCACATCCCAGCTGCATGAATCACTTCCCCGCCCTCAGAGCTGGAAACCAGCAGGTCACACCTGAAACAGGTAACCACAGTCACCTGCTGAGTCAGTCCACCGGTCCGCAGCAGAGCGGGAAGACTCCACCTGCAGACATTCACTTCAGACTGCCGCCATCTGCTGGCGAAAACCTGTCACTACACCCAAATTCTTCTGAGAGGAATGAAACTCCGGACTCAGGCAATAGAATCGTTCAGACAGAACGTTCACCTCACTGATCAACAAGTGAAGATAGAAAAACTGTAATGCAGAAGAACATCATCCAGAGGTTGAGAACTCTGTGGTTCTGATCTCCGTTTGGGCCGACTGCTTGAGATAAAAATCAATCTGGACATCAGAAAAAGTTTTAAAAATCTCCCAAAAGCTCCTGAATAAAACTTTGAGCTGATTGGTTTGCTCTACTGGGTCAGAACCAGGCTGAGGTCAACCTACTGAACTCAGTGGACCCGATCTGCTCTTCACTGGGTGTCAGAATCACTGACCTTTGACCTTTCCTTTATCAGCCAGATGCTTCTGTTCCTCAGAGATCAAACAGTCGGGTTTCTTTCATCACCAGTTCTGCTGGCAGACTGAGTCCCGGCATTGAGGAGAAACTGGGTCACGACCCAGAAACAGAGAGCTGAAGTGGTTCTGGTTCAGACTGTGGGTCAGAACCGCGGGTCAGAACCAAATTATAGATGCATTCTCCAGGGGAGAAACATCTAGATAAGATCTAGATAAGTTCCTCCTTACATCTAAATGCATTTTTAAACTCAATAAATTAAATTAGTCTACATCAATTTATGTATTTATTGTTGAGTAAATATCATATTTGTCATATTTATTTGCATTTACTGTTATTTTAAGCTAAATATTAAAGTACTGAATTAATGCGAGTGCTGCTATGTTGGTTCTGGTTCTACTCATGACTCCTGTTTTATTTTGATAATCTGTTTCTTGTGTTGTGATTACTTCCTGTTTTACTTTTAAATCCTGTTTTGTCCAGTTTCTGTATCAACACTTCCTCAACTGACCCTTGACCTCTGCTGCCCTCCTACCTGTGGAAGCCACTCACCTGTTTCCAGTCCAGTAATCATCCTCCCATTGCCATCCATTCTGACAGTTTTTAAACTATTTTATTTTTCATTTAGTCATTTAAAAAAAATCAAAGTCTTAAAAGAGACAAATATAAAACAAAACACAATTAAAAAATATATTTTTTTTTACTTTTGTTGTTTCACTTGTCACTTTATTAACCGAAATTGTCAGATTGTAGAGCAGTAAAAACAGGAAGTGGTTATGGCGATCCGGTGAATTAAAAATAAAACAACACCTGACCTCAGTCTGAGCTTCAAATCATTTTACCAGAAGAGACTCTTTAACTCGTCTTTTGTATTACCATTACTGGTTTATAAAAAATACTACAAGAAATAAAACAACAATGTTTAGCCTGGTGGCCCGCCAGGCTTAAAATACACAAACATCTGGGAAATCAACAGCAATCATCACCTGGAGGAGGAATAAAACTCAGTCAGAGCAACTAGCCTGTGATTCAGCTCCTGTCTTTTTATGATGTTTTTCTGCTGAAGTTTGACCTGGACAGTTCAGTAACGTGATAAATCCCTCAGTACCTGAACAGTTGGACATTTTTCTGGAGGATGACTTCCTGTGGGCTAAAGAGCAGAGCGACCAGTAAGGCAGGAAATGGAGCTAATGACGGAGCGGTGGACCTGATAATCAAATCAGTGTTTCAGACGTGTCTAATGGAGCCACCGCTCACGTCACTGCGGGCCGTTTCCCGTCACCTGCCTCTTCCACGACAGCTTCAGGAGGAGAGACGGCTGCTGCATAATGGATCTGTCCCAGATGTCCACTGATTGACCGGAAGGGACAGAAAGGGGCAAAAAAATATCCAAAAGCTGCACCCAACAGAGATATGATAATGTTAGATAATGTTCAGATAATGTTCTGTCTGAATGATTCTCCTGTGTGAATCAACAAACAATCAGGCAAAATAAAAAAAATAAATAAAACCTCCATGTTAAAACAGCTGGCGTCCAGAGAGACATTCAGGAATCAGTTCAAAACAAGGAATCAGTTCAACACAAGGAATCAGTTCAAAACAAGGAATCAGTTCAAAACAAGGAATCAGTTCAACACAAGGAATCAGTTCAAAACAAGGAATCAGTTCAAAACAAGGAATCAGTTCAACACAAGGAATCAGTTCAAAACAAGGAATCAGTTCAACACAAGGAATCAGTTCAAAACAAGGAATCAGTTCAACACAAGGAATCAGTTCAACACAAGGAATCAGTTCAAAACAAGGAATCAGTTCAACACAAGGAATCAGTTCAAAACAAGGAATCAGTTCAACACAAGGAATCAGTTCAAAACAAGGAATCAGTTCAAAACAAGGAATCAGTTCAACACAAGGAATCAGTTCAAAACAAGGAATCAGTTCAACACAAGGAATCAGTTCAACACAAGGAATCAGTTCAAAACAAGGAATCAGTTCAACACAAGGAATCAGTTCAACACAAGGAATCAGTTCAACACAAGGAATCAGTTCAAACCAAGGAATCAGTTCAACACAAGGAATCAGTTCAAAACAAGGAATCAGTTCAACACAAGGAATCAGTTCAACACAAGGAATCAGTTCAAAACAAGGAATCAGTTCAACACAAGGAATCAGTTCAAAACAAGGAATCAGTTCAACACAAGGAATCAGTTCAACACAAGGAATCAGTTCAAAACAAGGAATCAGTTCAAAACAAGGAATCAGTTCAAAAACAAGAAATCAGTTCAACACAAGGAATCAGTTCAAAACAAGGAATCAGTTCAAACAAGGAATCAGTTCAACACAAGGAATCAGTTCAAAACAAGGAATCAGTTCAACACAAGGAATCAGTTCAACACAAGGAATCAGTTCAAAACAAGGAATCAGTTCAACACAAGGAATCAGTTCAACACAAGGAATCAGTTCAACACAAGGAATCAGTTCAAACCAAGGAATCAGTTCAACACAAGGAATCAGTTCAAAACAAGGAATCAGTTCAACACAAGGAATCAGTTCAACACAAGGAATCAGTTCAAAACAAGGAATCAGCTCAAAACAAGGAATCAGTTCAAATCAAGGAATCAGTTCAACACAAGGAATCAGTTCAAAACAAGGAATCAGCTCAAAACAAGGAATCAGTTCAAATCAAGGAATCAGTTCAAATCAAGAAATCATTTTAAATCAAGGAATCTGTTCAGTCAGGAATCTGTTCAGTTAGGAATCTGTTCAGTGTGGAATCTGTTCAGTCAGGAATCTGTTCAGTTAGGAATCTGTTCAGTGTGAATCTGTTCAGTGTGAATCTGTTCAGTCAGGAATCTGTTCAGTTAGGAATCTGTTCAGTGTGGAATCTGTTCAGTCAGGAATCTGTTCAGTTAGGAATCTGTTCAGTGTGAATCTGTTCAGTCAGGAATCTGTTCAGTGTGAATCTGTCCAGTGGGAGGAAACGAGCAGAAAACCTGAACTGAAACCTAAAATCTCCATCAGAAACCACAAAGACCTCCTGATCCAGAAAACTTGAAACTATCAGGTAATTCTGAGTCTTAATTCATTTGGACTGATCAGCCAATCTGGGTGAAGTGACTCTGCAGCGCCCCCTCTGCTGATGACGCGCTCCTGCAACAACATCCATCACTTTCCTCCTCCTTCTCCTCCTCCTCCTCACTGGTACTCAGAGCGACAAACCTCAGTGCATCAGTGTTTGATTGTAGCCCGAGTCGTGTAGCTGTTCCGCTGCTCCTGAACTGGTGAACCGAACCGAGCCGAACCGAACCGCGAGGAACCCGGCCAACGCACCGGGATGGACCCCGAGCTGGAGTCGCGTTTCCAGCTGTGAGGAGCGGAGCAGGAGCCTGGAAAGCCCCGGAGGAAAGCGGAGGAGGTGGCGGGGGGGATCCGGGGGACAGAGCCATGGCGACTGGCGGCGGCGGCGGCGGCGGCGGGGCGGCGCGCAGGCGGAGAGCCGGGATCCCCGGGTTCTGCTGGAAGACCTGCTGCTTCCCGCTGCTGCTCTGCGTGGTGTCGGTGTGCGGGGAGGAGAAGACCTTCATAGTGGAGGTAAGAGGAGGTTTTCTAAAAGCAGAGAATAACATCGGGAACTGAACCGGATCCGGACTTAGAACCGGTTCAGCGCTTTGTTTTCTGACGCTTCAGCGTCAGTAACAACGTCACAAACTAACAGCTTAATTGCTCATTAAGCCTGATTGTTTCCGCCTGTTTGGCAGCTTTAATAAGTCCTTCAGATCCTCTGTTCCCCCTCCCCCGCCTGCTGCTGCTGCTTCTCTACATTCAGACACATGTTGACCAGAAACAGGCAGGTTAAAGTGAGGCTCCAGTCCAAATATAGCCTCTCCTCCATAATTCATGGATCTGCTGAGTCGGGGTGAATGGGGGAAACTGATGGAGATGTTGGTGATCTGGATCGGTGCTGCTGCTGCTGTTTTCCTGTTTTGTTGCTGGAGATGCTTTGATTGAGACAAAGAGAGCGCCTGTGGCAGTGGAACAAAGGAGGAGATGTTTTCTCCACAGCAGTCTGAGACCAGAGGAGGAGACAGACTCAGCTCCACCGTGAAAACATCACAAAGTTAGAGAGGCGGCAAACTGGAGGGAAAAACTCCTGAGGGATGCTGGAGCAGAAAATCCAAGTCCATCTGTGTTTGTGTGTGTGTGTGTGTGTGGTGTGTGTAGGGGGGGGTGGGGGGGGGTGTGGATCCCATAAGGGTCTCATCTGGGCTGGAGAGTGGCCCCAGCTCCATGGAGAACATGAAGCTCTGCTCTCCAGTGGTTCAGACTCAGAATGTTTTCACTCTGACTCGGTTCACAACATTTGCTCCATTTTAAATAGTTAAATAAATAAATGTTCCCCTCCTCACCTGAGGGGGCGCTGCACCAAGAAAAACTGAAGGAGACAATTTAAAAACCTGCTAAGTCCCTGAGCGCAACTTCCTTCACCAAAGGGAGACAAAAATGTATCGTCAGATTGAGGAGAGCATCGATTTATCAGAGATTTCCTTCATCTAAGGAGATCGGAGATCGGTTGATACGTCAATGTGAGGCCGATCGTTTCCCCGATCTTATTGACCTCGGTAAACTTCTGACCGACCAGGTCATGTCGGCACTTTTGCAGTTATCAGACGTTGCACCACTGTTACCAGCTCAGCTACTTTCTTGCTATATTTAGCAACGTTTCACTCCAAAAAATCAGAAGCGGCAGGTCAGGCTTTTTAAAGATCAGTAATTGATCTGACTGGAAATTACAATCAGCTTTGAGTTGGAGGATTTCTCTTTAGTTTTGGCTAAAGACCACGAGTCATTTGTCCCGCTAGCGCTCCGCTAACATGTTGGTTCTGGTTGTATTTGTCCAGAATTTTAGCTTAACTTATTTAAACCCCGTTGAGATCTGGATCTCATTTTCAAGAGGGACCTGGACCTTATGTATTTCAGCTCAGATTTACTTAGTTTAGCTTATTTTAGCTAAGTTTGCAGTAGTTTCACTTAATTTAAGGCTTAGCTTTGCTTCATTTGGGCTGTCTTAGCTCAGATTAGCTGTTCTTGTTGAACTTAGGCCTGTTGATCTTAGTTTAGCTTCTTTTCTCTTAGCTTAGCACAACACCTGCAGGTTCCTCTGGAGGATTTTATTAATGATTGCTACAGGGCTAACATGCTACAGGAAACATCCTGTGTTTCTGTGATAGTGACGTGGCAGCAGGAAATGATGCCTAACTGCAGATATCTGCTCCATAATGGAGGTAATGAGCTGAAAGTGTGTCTGAGCCCTACAGTCGGTGTCAGGCGGGTTTCCTCCCTCCCAGGAGGGGAGACTTCTGGGAAAGATGATGGTTGTAAACACAGCATTAGAGCTGAAGATGGACTGGAAGTGGGCTGCTGCTGCAGCAGCTGCAGCGGCTGCTGTTGCTGCAGCTGACTGGGTGGGTGGGTGTGAATTCAAGGCCGCTGTCCTGATTAGTCATTGTTGGAGATAAATACACACACTTGTAACGTTTTCAGATTGACAGCCTTGTTGTGGCGCTTCCTCTCTCCAGCCGCAGCTGGAACCAACAGGAGCTGTCACTGCGGGTTTCATGATGGTTTTGTTCTGTCTGAAACCAGCTGAACCCGGACAGAGGAGACGGTCGATATGGAAACACGAGGAAGCGTCTTAAAACGTCACATCCGATGTTTTCAACTAACACGTTGACATGTCAGCAGAAAAGAAATGATTATAAAAATGAAAACATGGAGCAACAGTTCAGTTCACAGCAGCAATTTGAGTCGTGGTCCACAAAACCAGCTTTTATATTCCATTCACCCCGATCGGCAAGCTATCAGCCTAGCTAAACATTTAGCTATAAGCTAAACATTCAGCTTTAAGCTAAACATTCAGCTATAAGCTAAACATTCAGCTAGCATCCTAAATATTAGTTAGCATGATAAGTATTTGCCTAGCTAACTAAATATCTAGATCTGCTCTAAATGCTTAGTTTGGAAAATAAATATTTAATTTCAAAATTAAATGTTGAGTTAAGCAAATAAACATTTAGTTTCCTTATTTACATTAACAAGATTTTCATCCACTAGTTTTTAATTTGCTACGTCTCTGTCTTAGCTTGCAGATGAAAGCTATGTTAGCTAAGCTAACGTTGCTAGTTCAGCAGTAAATATCACCGATGTTTTTCTATGTATTACACAGAGGTGGGTAGACTACTCAGACATTATGACTGAGTTGTAATGTTCTTAAGTTTATCGGTTAGATAGGAATGAGGCGAGAGCTAGTTTTAAGTTTGTGGCTTGCTTCTTGTTTTCTAAGTAGATGGTCAGAGTTGTCCATAGTTTTATTGATTTAATGTAAAATATTGGTTCCACGGAACAGAACCAGTTTCCATTGCCAGGTTGTTGAGTCTTTTTAGGTTCCAGGACAGCTAGCTAGGCCCTTTCTTCACCGCTAGCGCTCGCTACCTCACGTTTACAAGCAGGACTGGAGTGATGATGGAACGACTCCAGACTCAACGAGTCTGAGAGCAGCCGCCGCATGTTAGACTCCTGCATTTAATTTTGGGCTGAAATTAAAAATTTATTCTTCACAGAACCTCAAATTAGACCCAAACATACACACACCTACACACACACACCTACACACACACACACACACCTACACACACACACACCTACACACACACACACCTACACACACACACCATACACCTACACACACATACACACCTACACGCACACACCTACACACACCTACACACACATACACCTACACACACACCTACACACACATACACACACATACACCTACACACACACATGCACACGCATACACCTACACACATACACCTACACACCTACACACGCACACACACACACACACAAACACACACACACACAGTGCTTTGACCTGCTGTCAAAACACACAGATAGATTACTAGCAGTGATACTCTGCAGACAATCGACATTCTTCAACTGTTATCAATTAATTAGATTTCTGCAGACGCGATCAGTGTGTTCTTAGTCCTGAAGCTGCAGAGTCACAGAGGGAAGCATGATGATGTAGGAGCAATCCTGAAGGACAGCAGGACAGGAGGACAATAAGAGGTTTCAGGACAAAAAGTCACTCTTGTAAACATCAGAAACATTAGCGCTAACATGCTAACTACAAACAAAACACTAAAAAAATGGATGCAGCACTCCTTAGAGAAGACTGCTGAGTTTCACATCAGAACTGGATCAGGAAGAGTCTGCTGAAGCCAGAGAACCAAAACTGAACTGAAGTTAGGACAAGTCACCAACGGAAACCTAAAGCTAAGGTAAACAAAGCAAAATCAACTAACCAATAATAAATGTAATATACACTAAACGAATGTTAAATTAGGTCAAGACAGTCTGAAAAACTAATAAAATATGATAACACTCAAATAAAATAGGCTTAACAAAATTAAGCTAAATTAATCCAAACCTTAAAGTTGCACAGAATGAAGTGTTTGAATCTTATTTAAATTAATAAATGATTAAATAAAGTGCAGCAGGAGTGAACCAGAGTTTGTCAGACTGTTTTTAAACGGAGACAGTTGATCATCTGGGCCTCATCCTCAGCTCAGCTGTAGAGAAATCAGGATCAGCAGTTTCAACAGGAATATCTGAACGCCTTCATGATCCATCATCCAATTGTTTCTGAGAAATCTCCTTTAAACTGCCATAAATCAGAACATCAGAGCAGCGACATGAATAAGAACCAGCGTTAGAGCCACCACCTCACTGAAGATTCAAGCAACCTCAGGTTTGCAGCAGAACCTCTTCAGATTATTCCTGTCTGACATTTTAAACCAGTTCAACATCCAGTGAAGTCTAAACTGGACTCACTGGGACCAATGGCCAGCATTCATTTCCCTTTATGGTTCTTTATTTTGGCTTTTCTGTGAACAGGAAGTTAGATCTCACCACATCCTGCTGCTGATCCCAGCAACAGAAAATGTTTGTTTTGTATTTTTCTGTTTTAATTAGCAGTTTGAATAAGATGTGAGCAGATCCTCAGACAAACAGCCTGAGGATCTAAAGCAGCTTCATAATTAAATGTCCGTGTTGGTGAGAAATGGTTTCTCCGATCAGACCTAATCCTCCTGCGCTGCTCTCAGGAGCTCGCTGCTCCTCCGCCTGCCGTTCGTTTATAATTAGAGCTGTGCTCAGATCTGCACTCCGCTCCACGCCGCCGCAGAGATAAATGTCATCTGCTGCACATGCAGCGGCGCCGCATTAAAACCTTTCCTCTGGTGGCTCCGCCACAAAACCACCTTTCAGTTCAGATTAATGTGAACAATAGTCATTTAAAGCTCAAACTAATTAAACTAATGCAAAATATGAACATATTCATGCAAATATGCTGAAAACATTTGTATTATGAGCAAAAATGTATTTTTAATAAATGTTTTTCCTGTATGTTAGACATATATATCCATTTAAAATGAAATAGGACAACAGATATTTTACTGGGTTTGGTTTTAGAAATAGAAGTTCCTTTATTGTCACACAGTGGCAATCAAAGCAAGTAAATTCACACAAAGACAAAAAATAAAATATTTAAAAACAGAATGAAAAATAACGTGCGTTACAGTAAAGGGAAATCCTTAAAAATGTTCCGTGAGAAAGCTAATTATTTGACTCCTAAGTAAATATTTAGTGTTTTTTTATAAATGTTTGAATAACGTGGTGAAAATATTTAGTATCAACCTAAATATGTAGATAAGGTGTAGCAAACGAGCAGGTTTAATATTTGACTTGGAAATAAAATGTTAACTTTATAACTAAATAGTTCATTCACAAGCCAAATGTCTTGCTGGCTTTACAGCTTGTGAATGAAATATTTAGTTTGGAATTGTGATTTTTACAAATGTATGACAAACAAGACGAAAGTATCTGAAAAATGAACACCCATTTATTTTGCCTGGCAGCCTGAATAATCTAAATGATTCTGACTTAGCTTAGTTTATATTATTATAGTTTATTTGAACCTTATTAGTTTTGTCTTTGTTTAGATCAGATTTGCTGATCTGGCTGATTGAAAGGAGGAAGATCCACATCAGAGCTCCTGCTCTGTGATTTGCTCATCGATTCTGTCTCTGTCTGGTTCTGAAGGGATTCTGTGTCTCTGATTAATAAAGTGGGCAAACTGTTTGCCATAGAGGCCTCAGAGGTTCAGCAGGTTCTGGAGGTTTTTATTGAGACAGTGAGCCGGTCGTGTCCTCCGTGACCCGGTTCGTCTGACTGAGAGAACTCTGCTTCATCCAGACTGATTAATCGGATCTCGTCTGATCCCTGGAAGACAAAGTGCAGAAGTCCTGACAGGAAGAGTCGGCGGCGGTCTGAGGATCTGCCCTGGGGGGGGAATCCTGGGCAGCAGGCCGGCGCTCTGCGCTGCAGCAGATCGGCTCCATTAATCAGCCGCCGCTCGGCTTCACCGGCTGTTTTCTGTCCTGATTGCTGCGATGGGATCGGGTTTTCCTGCTCGGCGCTCTGCAGCATTCAGAAACAGAAAATCATTTCTCATATTTCCAGAACCAGGCCTGTCACGATAACAAATGTTGCCGAACGATAAATTTCCCCAGAAGTGATGGTGATAAACGATAATGTAGATGTTTTGAGACCGTTTTCTAGTAGTCTAATATAATGATAATGGCACATATTGATCCTCACAGATCAATAAACTTTAAATACTAATGAACATTTAAAACTGGAAGACATTTTTAAAGTCCAAAGTAAATAAAACAACAAATAAAATGAATTATGAAGTCTCAAAAAAAAGGTTTAGTTGAGACCAAAACATCAGACTGAAAACTTTCATCATCTAGTTTTTGCTGGAAAGAGAAATCCAATTAATTGTGCAAATGGAAATGACTAAACATGTTTTAATTTGTCATGCAGTTGAGATGCAACATTACCGTTCAAACTGCGGAGGCTTTGAAAACTATCAAATGTGACTTAATTCCACATCTGGAATGAAATAGATCTGAGTTTTTCTGTAGTTTTTTGGTGAAAATATCAGAATCAGCTGTTAAATTGTGGTGTTTGTGTCACATTCAGCTGCTGTTGGATCCGTTAGATTGAGGTGATTTGGGTTTTTTCTCAGCTTTTTGTGGGTTTAATCAGGTCAGAGATATAAATGTGATTAAAGTTTAAAATCTGTTCATTAAAGTTTGTTTACTGCTGCGCGAACATGAGCCACAGATTTATTTCATTTGCACGGCGCTGAATGTTTTCTTTCATTAAACGTTCCTATAAACATGATTATAACATGAGATGCTGAAGATAAAAAAACCTGATGAAATATTAATAACAAGAGTTTAATCAGGGAGAAATTAATGATAAAAAACATAAAAATGCTGACAGTTTTATGTCAATACTGGGTTATGTAGAAATATTAAAATTACTACAAAATTAAAGTAAAATGTTTAGATGCTTTTCTCTTTTCAGTTTTTATTTATACAGATTATTTCCATATTTTTAGTTGCAGCATGTTTACATCTATATTTGTAGATTTACGACACCATCATTAACTTTTTCAGCTTAATAATCTGTTTTAAGTAAAACTGTTAGGGTTTTTTTAGCTGTGATAGTAAACGTCTGGCTCACCTCGTGTTGCACGGTGCTGAAAACCTGAGGATGTTCCTGGCTGGAAGTGACTTTTAAAGAGAAAGAAAACAGGAAGACGCTCCAGAACTTGTGCTATCTGTGGATTTCGGATCGATTAGTGGATCCATGTGAATCAGATTTTCTTTGACTCAGAAGGAAAAACCCGTCGGTTGTTTTCTGATCCGAGTTTCTGCAGCAGGAGGAAGATTTTATTGAGGTTTATGGAGATCATAATGAGTTTTTGTGTTTTATTGTGATGGTTTCTCTCCAGTTAGAAACATTTTAATAAACCTGCTTGTTTTTCTTCAGACCAGGAAAGTTTCAACTGCTTGTTTCTGTTTCACATTATTTCTCAGCGTTAGTGTCTCTCAGACAGCATTTTGTGTTTTCCAGCCACATACTGAAGATTTTTAGTACAATCAAGTACAAATGTTACCTTCACTTGTTATAAAAATGCTGTGCATATCAAATATGACTTTGAAAGTTGACTTTGTGTTTAACGCCGTTTGTGCTTCAGTCTCTTTAAAAACGTGTTTGAATTTTTCCAAACATGGTTCTGTCCATCATGGTCCAGCTTGTCTGCTTGCTGGACGTCCATTCATGTCTCTGCAGGATGATGGATTTCTGATGGTTCGTAGTTGACCTTTTAACCCTTCCCTGACATTTCCCCTCCTTCCGGTCGTGTCTCCCAGACGTGGCTGAAGAACTACGGCTACCTGCTGCCTCATGACGTCAGGACGTCGGACCTGCGGCAGGAGAAGGCCATGCAGTCCGCCGTGGCGGCCATGCAGCGTTTCTACGGGATCCCGGTGACGGGAGTCCTGGACGAAACGACCATAGAGTGAGTCACGTTGTGTTTTCATGACAAATGGGATCAAATCTTTATCTATATTCCACTAATGTCGAAAAAATGCAATTTTGCAATTACATTCTTTCCGTTAAATAAGAAATTAGATAAAGATGATGCATTTTAATAGGGGTGTTTCCATTCAAATAAATTTAATTTTGTAATTCACTTTGCGCAGCTCTGTGGTTCCTGGACCGCAGCTGCTGATTGTTGCTGAATCAGATGTTAATATTCTGTCCCGTCCTGCTCTGAGCCAAAGCTGCGCCTTGTGTCCAGGTGGATGCGCCGGCCTCGCTGCGGCGTCCCCGACCATCCTCACACCAGCCGGCGCCAGAGGAACAAACGCTACGCGCTGACGGGGCAGAAATGGAGGGAGAAGAGGATCAGCTACAGGTAACGCAATAAGCAATTCATCAATTCATCACATGGTGAATGAAAACCAGTTCAAAATTTAAAACATGAAAAAACTGGAAGACAAAAGTCTTTAGTCTGGTGCTTTGGTCTCAACTTAACATTTTATTGAAGATCAATTTTGTCTACAGAGACTTCATAATTCATTTTATTTGTTGTTTTATTCATTTAAAATGTCTTCCAGCTCCAGTCTTAAATGTCCACTAGAATTTAGGAAAATCCTTTAATTCACTTTTACCATTTTATTACTTCCAGATGAAAACATTATCGTTCATCACAATTAATTTATCATCCACCAAAATTTATTATTGTGATGATAACACTTTATTATTATTATTGTGCTGTTGACCAGAGTGTCCCACAGTACCCTGAACGCACCATTCTCTGCCTGCTGGCTCTCTGCACAGGTGTAAAAAGACCCTAAAGCAGATTAGGAAACTCCCAGGAGACACTGAACAGAACCGACATGGCTCCACCAAACGTTATTAGAAATCTAGCCAAAAGAATCTGAGTGTTCTCCTGCAGCTTCTCCTTGTTTTGTGACTTAAACAGCATCAGCTGGTGAATAAAGCGACTGATGAGGCAGTCTGCTGAGGATCGAAGCCCGGCCCAGTGGGACCGGCACCGGGCTTTTAGGCAGAACCGACACCCATAAATACTCCCATCCTTCCTGAAAGCCCTCAAGGCTCAGAGCCAGAGACAGTTTATATTAAATAAACATACAGCAGTAAACCAGGCTGTGACGCAGAAAGGAAACTATTAAGACAGATGAATTAATAATTTACTCCTAGTGCTACGTTTTTCAGAAGGAAATAATAATAATAGTAGAGGGGGGACTTGATTAAAGAGTTTAATCGAGTTAATTGAACCATCTGTAATTAATCAAAAAACTAAATATTGACAAAATAAGTAACATTTTCAGTTAAACAACTATTTGCTGCTAAATAGCCATATGAGCATAAGAAATGTATTTTTACTTTTTATTTTGCATTGTGCATATTTTCCTGCATCATGAGGACATTTATTTTGGAAGTTTGTGGGTAGGAACTAATATCAGGGATGTTGGTTCCAGTGGTGCACCTGAGAGACGCGCCCTTCTGGTGCCGCATGGGGAGGTTAGCACATGGCAGCAGAAAGTTAGATGAAAATAGTTTAATGAATGCTGAAAATAATAAACCGTATTCACGAGGGAACGTTTGCTGGTAATTTTACCAGAGTCCTTCTTAAAGCAGCTCCTGTAATGAGCCCAGCAGTTCCTCCGGCTGTTTGCTAATTCCTGCTGGCTAGTCTGAAGGAGCTGAGTGTGGGAGGAACTGCGTTTTGAAGGCGGGGCTACGCCTACCCAGGCATTGTGAACAGCTGAATGGTTGCCATGGAGATTGAAGGATTTGTCAAACATGCATGAAAGAATCGAAGCGACACTCCAGGTTTGTTTCTGGTTAGAGGATCAAATTTTGTCAAGATCAAAATGTCAAGCTTGATGCTGGCCCTTTAAATTTATTGTTGTCAAGGGGAAATCTCACTCTAAACTAAAAATCTCCCAGGCAACATGATCTGTTATTGGACCGCATCAATCCCACTCCGCCTCGCCTCGTCCCGCATGGCGCTCCATCGGGTTAGTGAAAATTACCACCTTCCCGCGGACACTGAAGGCATCCCTGCGGCGCTGCTTCCCACTCTGCAGAGTCAGCTCCGATTACTGGCTGCTCTGGGTCTCCTCCTCCTGCTTCACCTCCCATCAGTCCAAACGGGCCTGCTGGCTCCGATCATTTCAAATCCGATTGCTCGTCTTCTGAGGCGCAGAAGCCCGGTCTCTTTCAACGAGGCTCCTTCTGAGGCGTTTGGTGACAGTTTGAAGGATGCTGGCTGCATCGGATCGTTTAGCATACATGAAGTATTTATTCCCACCTGCTGAGTTTTGTTCCAGTTTCTCCTTCATCCGCTGACTCCTGTGGGAGTTTTTTGGTGCTTGTTCGTCTTGGCGGAGCTGCAGGTTCCTGTAAATCCCTCTTCATGTTCTGAGAGCACAAAGCCAAACACACAACTGGAGCCGAAACGAGAGAAAATGATATTTCCAGTTGACAACAGAGGCTGAGCGTATGGAGGACCAACACTGACATGATTTAAAATAAATAGTTTTTCCTTTTTTTATGCGTTTTTGTCAAACTTATTTGTATAGAAATACAAACATATAAAAAGTTGAACGTCCATCACAATGGACATTAAGACGACTGTGGCTGTCGGAAGGTTGTAGGTTCGGTTCCAGCTTCCTCCTGCCACGTGTCAATGTGCCTGTGAGCAAGGCACTTAACCTCAAATTGCCTACCAGTGTGTGAATGTGTTTGTGAGCAAATGTGTGAATGTGACTCCAGTGGAAACGCTTTGAGTGGCCAAAATGACTGGAAAAGCTTGATAAGTTCAGTCCATTTAACAGCAGCGTTTAATTATTTAGTGTCACCATGCAAAGAAAAAACGTATCTTTAGCGTTTCGCAGCTTATTTGTGGTTTCACAAGTCATTTATTTTATTTCATTGTTTTATGATTTTTATGAGCATGAGCACTGACTGTTGAATTGCTTGTAAATAAAATGTTTTTTTCTGTATTTTAGTGCTGAAGTGAAAAGTATTATTTTTTTGCTACATTGATAAAAATCAGTTCTGAAGGCGTTAATTAGATTTATGGTGAATTTAGGTTTTCATCTGAAACATCATCAAAATCTGCTGAGCTTCTTCAGGACCTTTTCCTGCAGCTCCTTCCTTTCCATCCCTCCATCCCTCCATCCGTCTCCTTCTCCAGCCGTTTTCTGTGAGTTTCTGAGACGAGCGATAAAAGTGAATAAAAATGTACAGCACGTTCCTTCTCCTGCAATTACTCTGTAACGACCTTTCTGGCTCGTTTATCTGCAGCTGCGCGCATCAGGCTGCACATTAACCGAGCTGCAGCCTCAGATGGAAACATCAGCAGATCAGAAAGAAATTATTCAACTCAAAAACACAGATTGGGATCATAATTGTCCCGTCTGCTCAGCGGTGGAGCCGAAGCGTTTCAGTTATCTGTTCTGCAGAGTTCTGGCCAAGCATTTCTTTTATCAGTTTTCCCAAACTGTTTTTCTAAGAGTTTATTTTTTATTATTATCAAATAACGATCATTCATTTAACCAGGTTAAATGAATAAAATAAAAACAGACACGTTTATAATTTTATTTTATCTTTTTTCCATTGTTTGAACTCTATTTTTCCTAAGAAGTTGCCAAACATTCACACATTGATGTTTTTTCTTTATTTTCTTCAGCATTTGTGGGATTTAATATATTTACTATATTTGTCTGTCTGGTACATTTTAATTTAATGTGATATTTTTATGTAATTTATTTACATTTAAATGTTTAATGTATTTTTTTGTTTAATTTTAAGTTTTTATTATAATTATTTATGTTTTTTATTTTGTTAACTAAACTTTGCACTTCCTGTCCTCTGATTGGTCCGTTTTCAGGCTGAAGTGACTCCTGTCAGAAAAATACTAAAACTAATTTCCTCTGCTCCCCAGAATATCGAACTACACCCCCAAGGTGGGGGAGAAGGAGACGCGCCGAGCGATCCGCCAAGCCTTCAACGTGTGGCAGGCTGTCACTCCGCTCTCCTTCCAGGTCAGAAACCAGCAGCTTCTCCTCATCTCCACCTTTCATTGTCATAAAAACATTGACTGTTGAGTTTTCCTCCCTCTGATCCAATCAGGAGGTCCCGAACTCAGACGTGGAGAGTGACGGGAAAGACGCCGACATCATCATCTTCTTCGCCTCTGGTTTCCATGGCGACAGCTCTCCGTTTGATGGCGAGGGGGGATTCCTGGCCCACGCCTACTTCCCGGGCGCCGGCATTGGAGGAGACACCCACTTCGACTCTGACGAGCCGTGGACGCTGGGAAACGCCAACCATGACGGTGAGAGCCGCCGCCAGGGGTCACAGAGGTCACATCTGGTTTTTAATAGTTTTCATGAACTGTTCTACATCTGGGAGTCATTTAATGTTTCATTTAAATTAGTTTTTGGTTTAAGTTTTTTTATTCTCATTAAAATGTTCAGTTTAATTTGTTTTTATATTTTGTTTATTTTAATTGAAATCCTTAATTTACTTGTTTTATTTTAATTCATTATTAATTTTTATTTAAAAGTCTCATATGAACTACATTTTTATTTCAGTTTGATTGTTTATTTACTTATTGAAACGGTATTGAATTGAAATGTTCACATTGGTTCTGATCAGTTTATTATTACCTGATTCATTTTTCCTCTGAAATCCTGCGGAGGCAGCAAAGTGTTTCGTTTTTCCACCATGGTTGTGTCTTCTGAACATTTGAGGCTAGAATTTCATTATTTTTAATCCACTTCTTCAGGTTTCTGGAAAACCTTCATGGAAACAAAGTTAACAGTTTAAAATGGCAGCAAACGAAAACCAAAAACTTTCTCTGAGTTTCATTGAGACACATTTAAATGTGTTTCTGCTTTCCCTAAAAGCTCTTCAACCTGCAATGCTCAGTCTGTCTCTATCACACACACACACACACACACACACACACACACACACACACACGCACGCACGCACACGCACACACACACACACACACACACACATACTCATGCGTGGTGTAATTGAAAGATTAGCGAGCAGATAGCGCAGCGTGATTCATGCTATCCGCTTCAGAAGGACAAACGGGACACATTTTTCACTTTGGATTAAAACTTCATGTTCCCACCTGAGTCTGGTGACGTTTGTTATTAACCTGCAGGACAAAACTGAGGGCAAAGCAACCCACAGGAACCAGAACCGCTCCCTCCTTCCTTTTGTAGAAACAAATAGAAATTCATCAAGAGGTGTTTACTTCATACAACTATCAACAAAGACATTTTATTTATTATATTTTATTTATTTGGTAGACATAAAAATTTTTTTTTAACCTGTTCTTTAAAATACAACAGAGTTTACAAAATATGAAAATTAAATTTGTGCAAACAGCAGAAATATTATTCAAGCGAGGAAAACTGTTCACACTCTGGGAACCTTTTCATTTAGTTTGTTTAATCTCCAGGTCAACCATTCAGCAGTGCAAAACGCCTGGGTGGACTTAGCTCCGCCTCTGAGGCGCAGCTCCTCCTTGAACAGGCAAACTAAGCCACAGCATTTTAATTTGTTTATTGTGAATAAAATTATTATTAAATCTGATTTGACATTTTCAACAGAAATGATTTGAAAGATTCCACATTTTGTAAAACCATAATCTTCACTTTTAGATGACTGTGTTGCCGTAGTTACGACCTGATGCTTCGGGTGGATCATAAATGTAAATAAAACTGAATAGAATTGAAAGTAAAATGCAGGCTTGAGACAACAGGAAGTGATGCATTCAAGGGTCTGAGCAGAAAGTCGGAGTCCAGGGAGCTGAAGGAGCCGTAATCTTCAAACGCATCAAGAAGAGCAGAAAATTATGGGCTGTAATTAGGTTCAGGCAGAGTGGAACCGATTAGAGAGCTCATAAAGTGTTTGAGTCTCAGCTCCTCCATCAGACGGCTGGAAGTTATTAATTATCTGGCAGCAGCTCAGGGTCCAGATTATCTAATCCCACATAGGTTCAGAACGGCCGGGCCGCCATTCTCCCTCAGAACCAGCAGGACAAGAAGGAAAGAGGTTCAGATGGAAAATGATCCACCTCTTCACTGTAGAAATTCACACATCAGGATTAAATGCAGCATTTTCTCAGATGCAAAAGCCGCAGTGATGCGAACATCATGCAGGAGAAGGAGGATTAATGCAACATTAGCAATTATATAAGATCCATGTTTAAACAATAAATTATGGGATGTTTCTGGTATAACGGCTCAACAATCATTAACCGTTTCCTGCTTCATATCAAGTGCATGAAGGAGTGAGAGCATTAACCTGCTAAACCTTTAGTTGCTGTTAAATTATCTAATTAACATGGATTATTTTCTCTGTTCAGATCAGAACATTTTTTATGGATGTTTCTCTAATTGGAGAATAAAGTCTAAAGTAGAAAAAGGTCAAGCAAGTTTATACTTCTGGTTATGGAAATATGTATTGTATGGAAGTGTACTATCAAAATAAAAGAGACTGGTGCATCAGTGTTGCTGTAGATTCATTTTAAACATCCCACATTTTGCCTTTAAAACAGCTCATTCTTTGTTTTCTGTTTAAATGTTGGCCAAGAAAAGGGGAAAAGAAACGATGATGAAGAGATTACAGGAAGTTATTCTAAAGCAGGTGTTTATGAAGAGGTTTGGAAAACCCAGCTTTTATTTTGGAAGTCCATTTCCTGTTATCAGCAGGTGAATTTAGCATATAACTTAAATATAGGAGGATGATGTGGGACACTTTACACATTATTATTAAGTGGAAAATGCGTTAACCTTCTTGTTTAACTGCTGCTCAGCAGAATTCCTACAACAATATGAAGATGTTTCTCTTCTCCAGATCCAACATGTTTGCTGCTTTATGAGATCTGAATAATTTATTCTCCCACAGATTATATATTTAAGGATGCAGTGTGTTCGTTTGGGACTGGTATTACTTTGAAGAGAAGAGCGATAGAAACAAATTTCACTGTAAATTTAACAAACCGGCTGTAGATCAGCGGACGCCATCTTTGATTTTCTGCCGTCTTTCTCTCCAGGTAATGACTTGTTCCTGGTGGCGGTGCATGAACTAGGCCACGCTTTGGGTTTGGAGCACTCCAACCCCCAGCGCCATCATGGCTCCCTTCTATCAGTACATGGACACGCACACTTCAAGCTGCCGATGGACGACCTGCAGGGCATTCAGAAAATCTACGGTGAGGAAACGCGACACAAGTAGCGAAATATTTAACTGGAAGGACGAAGCGGGACTCTTTGAGGTGTTCATGAACACAACATTTCACTCTGAATCTAAAAGCAAAAACGTGCAAAAGTCAAAACAGCAAACTGAATTATTAATGCCGGAGCCCAGAGAGCAGCTGAATTATGGAGAATATTCGGCAGCCGGGCTCCGTTTGAAGGAAGAAAACGGATCGGAACCAGCAGCTTCTGCCTGGAAAACGTGTTTACACCAGAGACACAAAGACGGCTGCCGTCTTCATCAGCTCTGACTCTGATTTCTGTCTGCAAACGAGGAATTATCGGCATGGCGCCGGTGGAAATGTGGTGAAAAATGTATTTATTAGACACAAGAGAAGGAGGAGAAATGTCTGTCGGGTCAGATTTCCCCTTATTCATTTCAATGAGCAGAGCCTGAAAAAAAACTGATTATCACCTTAAAGGTCATGATGCACGGCTGACATTTCAGGGAAATATTGACAGGAAGCGTGAGATCAGCAGCATCTTTTCTCTGCAGCTCAGTGTTCGCTGCAGATACCTGACTGAGTTCCTCAGGTCGTCTGGCGTTTCCACCTTTCAGAGAAAAAACACGGCCGGGTTTTTATTCCTCTGTGAAGCTGCAGGAGTCAAAGAGCCGTTAGTAGATCAGACAGACATTATTCACAGCAATAAACGGCGTTCAGATGATATGAACAAAGACGTTTCGGCTCGGCACAACCACACAGAAAAATGAGAGGAAATACATAAACTGGAG